CCAGGAGTTGGAGGTTGCTGTGAGCTGTAATGCCACGGCACTCTACCCAGGTGGACAGCTTGAGGCTCTGTCTCAAAAAAACAAAAAACCAAAAAAACCTATCCTTTATTAATGGCTAAAAAAATCATACTCATGTGAGACTGACAGTAAATAAGAACATAAAAAAAAAAAAAAAACCGGCCCCAGTGCTTATACCTATAGTCTTGACTACTTGGGAGGCTGAGATAGGAGGATTGCTTGACCCCAGGAGTTTGAAGCTTCAGTTGAACTCTGATCAGGCCACCATACTCCAGCCTGGTGACATAGTGAGGCCCTGTCTCTAAAATAAATAAATAAATAATTTGTTAATTGAAATGTTGGAAAAGAAAACATATTGAACAATAAATTATGCTAAAAACACTTTAGTCAGGCATGGAGGCTCATGCCTATAATCCTAGCACTCTGGCATGCTGAGGCAGAATTTGAACTCAGGAGGTATAGACTTGTCTGAGCAAGAGTGAGACCCCCGTCTCTACAAAAAACAAACGGGGCAACTTGGCACAGGCTTGTAGTCCCAGCTACTTGGGAGGCTGAGGCAGCAGGAGACCTGGAGCCCAGAGGCCTGGGGTTGCAATGAGCTATGATGACACGACTGCATGCTACTCAGGATACAGAAGCGAGACTGTCAAAATAACAAAAACAACAAAAAAACCCCAAACACATTAGAGTTCAGTGAAAAGGGATAGGAGCTTGAGCAATTGGGAAAAGGCATTAAGAAGAAAAATGTAGGCTGACCACTGCACTCTACTCAGGGTGACTGAGACTCTGTCTTAAAAAAAAAAAAAAAGAAGAAGAAAAAGTAGGATTGCAGTGGTTAGGAATTAGTGCAGTGAGTTCTGGGAACTGGGGGAAAGTGGTCCATTTGGGACTTGCTGAGAGTTAGAAACTCAAGATGGGGTAGGAAAAGTAAAATGAAATAGACAGAAGGGTTTTGTAGCTACCTGGAGTCAATGAAAGTGTTAGAGCAGGAAACTGACAGTTTTGTTAGCCTAGTCTCTCCTGTTATTTTGTTCATTTGTTTGACATCTTCAGGACAAGATATTAAAAATCTTGTGTTATTCAGCTCTATTGTTTATGAATTAGAGCCATAGAAATGGAGGTTAGCCACTGAGCAGGAGTCACATTAAAGTTTATTCTATATTGTAAGACTAATATTGTCATTATAGAAAGACTAATTGAAAAATATAAAGAAGAGGCTCTGGTAGGGCGCTGGCCACATGCACTGAGGCTGGTGGGTTTGAACCTTGCCTGGGCCTGCTAAACAAGGACAATCGCAACAAAAAATAGCCAGGCGTTGTGGTGGGTGCCTGTAGTCCCAGCTACTCAGGAGACTGAGGCAAGAGAATTGCTTAAGCCCAAGAGTTTGAGGTTGCTGGGAGCTGTGATGCCAAGGCACTCTACTGAGGGCGCCATAGTGAGACTCTGTCTCAAAAAGAAAAAAAGGAAGAAGGAGGAGGAGGAGGAGAAAGAGAAAGAGAAAAGAAGAAGAAAGGAAGAGGAGGAGGAAGAGGAGAAAATGAAATCAACCATGATTCCACCTCTTCCTTCTTTTGGGAACAACCTTCTGGGACTTGAAGAGCCATCTAGAACACAGCCAGACATTCTGAGGAGGGAAGTGGAAGCTGAAGTAGAGCTTTGTGTTCATGCCACATTTCTTCCTCTTGTGGTGGATGGAGTGCTTTTATCCTTTCCCAATTAACTCCAGTGCTTTGAGAACGCTTCTCCAACTGTTGGAAGAAATGGCAACTGGAGGAAGGCAACTTCTCTCCTCTTTTAGGTGATCAGAAGAGCTTCATAGAGGTGGGGTCTGACCTAGAACTCACCTTATAGAGGGGGTAGGATTTCCTTGAGATGAGAAAAAGGAGATAAGGGTCTGGTATTGTTAGACTGCATTCGGGGACACCTGGTAGTCTAGCTCCGTTGAAGAACAGGCTGGGAAGGTATGTGCTGGGGCCAGTGAAGTTCCCTAAACCAAGGGAGAAAGTTTAACAGGGAGCAAGTTTAATGATTGTGTTTCTATTAAGGCAGCCAAACAGATTTCAGACTGTGGGTGTAGCTTGGAGAAGCAATTCAAAAGTCCTCACCCTCTAGGCACAGTTATTGCTGTTTCTTAGGGTGCGCTTTGTACTCAGCTGTGATTATTTGTGTCTGTTACCTTCTTTAGGACATTCTCTGTGTCTTATGGCACCCAGCACAGGGCCTGGAACATCGTAGGTGCTGGTGACTACTATTTGAATGAATAGATGTCTTTCTAGTAGATAATTGTTCTTTAGCATATTTTTCCAAAGAAGTTCTAAATTAGCCTTTCCAGCAAGCCCCTAGAAACAAGTTACTAATGTCCAGATCTCAACCATCCTCTTGCCCAGAATAAGTTAACTTTAGAGTGGGCAAAGCTGGCATTCATGCTGCTCTTCAACAGAATCTTTCCTTTGGGGAAGGCCTTGGGGTTACTTCCCGCCAACCCTTCCTCGCCGCCCAGCCCCACCCGCGCATCCCCGGGCGTGGCCCAGCGCGGCTCCTTTAAGAAGGGGGCGGAGCACACGTGGAAAGACAAAGCCCCTGGCCGCGCGCGTTCCCCCTCCCCCCTCCGGCGTACCACCCGGACAGTGGTGCCCGGATGTCGGTGTCGCCGTCGGTGACAGATGGCGCAGTGTCTGAACAAGTGAGGAGGCCTCTCTGGCCTGACCCCCTTGAGTTCTTAGTCATTCGGCCCTTTGCTGTCTCCCACTTTTAACTCCGCCGCTGGAGGCCCGCACGCCTGTCACTGGCGCTTACATAACGTGACCTTTCACCTCTTCAGACTGCCCTCTAGTGTGCTGCAACCCAACTACGCGGCAGGGGCAGAGTGGGTGGGACCCAGGTACAGAGCGGCAGCTCCTGTGAGCCAATAGACTACGAGCGCTGACCAGCTCTCCGCCTATTGGCGCATTCGCTACCGGCGCCACGGGGGAGCAAGTTAGTCTGTGTGCTGGCCGGGCGGGGGGGAGGAGGGGAATCTCCCGCCATTTTTCAATAATTTCCTCCGGTGCCGCTGAGGAGGAGTCGTGACTGCCGGCCGCTGGGACCCATAAGCGAAGGTTGGCCTGAGACTGCTGGGACGCCCTGCAGTGTGGCGTAGGAGCTCTGTGCTTTTGCTTTCCGTTCCATGGCTCTCGGGCGGCCGCGCCAGCAGTGAGGGAGCCGGAGTTCGCGCCGCCCTCTCACCCCTCCCCTCCCCCACCCCACCCCCGGGAGCCGGGCGCTCGCACCCGGGCTCCGGGGCCTAGTGTTGCGCTGCGAGCGGGCCGAACAGCCGCGCGCCCCCCGCCGCCGCGTTCTCGGTCGCTGCTGACGCGATGGCGCCGCTCCTGGGCCGCAAGCCCTTCCCGCTGGTGAAAGCGCTTCCAGGAGAGGAGCCGCTCTTCACCATCCCACACACTCAGGAGGCCTTCCGCACTCGGGAGTATCCTTTTCCAGCCGCGCGGGGCAAGGGCCAGACTGGGGCGGGTGGGATGGGCCGGGGGTATGCTGGCCTGGGTTGGGTCGGCCTCGGAGCCCGCTCCTGGGGCAGCTGTCAGCGCACCCAGCCGCCGGCTGGCCTGGATGCAGAACCCGAGTCCGCGCCCGCCGTTCCTGTTGTCGGGCGGGGGGCGCGGGCCGCGGGCCAGCCGGGGAGGAAGACCTGCCGGCTTGGGTCGCCCCCGGAGCCCCGCACTTTGTCCCCAGGCCTCCCTGACGGGGAGCGCACCTCCCCCCTCCCAGTTGGCTTTAGGCCCTGAGTACCGGGGGGGAGGGAGGGAGAAAGCGGAGTTTCCTTTGCTATCCCACCCTTTCTTTTTGGAAAAAACAGAAATTTAAATTATACCTTAAACTTAAGTTTTCGAAATTAAACCCGCGAGGCCTTGTGATCAGGCAGGTATAAGTCCCGATTGCGTCTTAGCCGAATCTCTGCGGGGGCGCTTGCATTCTCGGGAAGACTTTTAGGCCGGGGATGAACTGACAGGACCGTGAGGCACAAAACAGAGAATTAATTTCCAGAGTTAAAGGGAGCAGGAAAAAAAAAAAAACACAAAAAACCTTGCCTTAGTTGGGCATACATAGGTTTGAGATTTTGAAGATTGATAGTTTTTTTAAGTAAAATTTAGAAAAATAACCAGACATACTGAAAATTTTAATGCTGTATTTTGGGAACATGAGGTTGATGTTTTGAGTAGGAAGCATCTTCTCTTATGGTCATTTAAAAAGATGTCTGTATAAGCATAATCTTTTAGTTAAAAGTTCTACAGGTTGTATTTATTTTTGTTATGGATGCCAGATGAATCCTTTTGACGCTTATAAAAATGTAGATTCTGAATCAAGCTTTCTTTGGTGTAGAGAACCTTGTAAGAGTGAAAGCTAGTGTACTATTTTGTCAGCTTTTTCCATTTGGAAAGACTTGATTTCTTACCAGTTTCTGCTTGCTTGCTATTTCATTCCTCCTTTGATCTTTGCTTCAATGCAGTACTTCATAGTATAATCTCAATCTGGTTTGAGTGCAGTTTGTCAATGTTGGGTGTTTATACCCAAAAGGACCTGGAAGATGAGTCCCTGGTTTAGAAAGGCTCTGGAAGAAATATACATACAACATCTTGGAGATGAAATGGATTCTGGAGGTGGTGGGGATCCTCCTGTTTGGTTTGCCAAGTTCAGGTTGACTTGTTTAAGTTTGAATGATGAGAGTCGGGAGTAGAATGCTGTCCTCGTCCTACTTCATCTCTGTAAGTAAATCAAGAGAAAAAGGTAGAATGTTACTCCTTCATTTTTAATTAATTTAAATAATAGTCTACTCTGTGTCAGTTTGTGTTATAAGATAAGGTGTATGTGAGGCCAGACTCAGTAGCTCACATCTGTAATTCCAGCGCTTCAGGAGGCCGAGGTGGGAGGATTGTTTGAGGTTGTGATCTGCCACTGTGTTCCAGTCTGGTTGGTAGAGCAAGACCCTGTTCTCTGGAAGAAAAAAAAAAAAAAAGATAAAGTGCCTTTAAGTGGGGTTGGTAATCTGGTTCTTTCCTTGTCCTTTTAAGACTTTTGCAATGCTTTGGAGAAGGATTTTAGCTCTACTAAAAACAGCATTATTTTAAAGTTACCCTACTTTTTAAAAATAATGTTCCAAAATATTAGTAGAGTAGAATCTTACTTGTGGGAATCTGTCATATCCTTTTCAAGTGTCATTAATTTTTTAGCTGTTAATAGTTGTTCATACACTATCAGATGTTAATTAATTTTTTAGGTCTGGTTTTAGTGGAGTAGGAGAATCATGTCTTAGAGAAAAGGCAAGTTCCAAGTCTGTAGGATCTATTGAGCTATGTAAAAAATGGCTAAGGATAGTGAAATTAGGACTGTGAAATAGGCTTTTTCATATCCTTTAGTGAAATCACTGAAATATATATGAAGAAGTTCTCGTAATTATGACAGTTGAAAACTGAAACCTCAAACATTTAAAGTGGTATGTATTTAATAAACATTGTTCATTTTTTTATTTCCCATGCTGGTATTTAGAACCCTTTTAACAGAGGAGTTCCTAAATTGTGTTACATATGAGGGGAAAATTGTTCCCTTGGGAATTTCTACAAGTGGAAGCACTTTAAGGATGGTTTTTAAACAATTGTACTGTATGGTTGGCAGATTGGCATATTTCTTTATTAGGCTATTAGTGGTTTCATAGTAGAGCATAAATATGTGGTTGGGTAACAGCTGCATTTGAAGTATTCTCAGTTTTCAATTTATATTTACAATTATGTTTTTAATAGGATTTGATGCTTTAATTTTCTTAATACCTACCTTTTGGGCACCCATAGCACAGTGGTTACAGCGCCAGCCATGTACACTGACGGTGGCAGGTTCAAACCCACCTTGGGCCAGCTAAACAACAGTGGCAACTGCAACAAAAAAATAGTCAGGCGTTGTGGTGGGAACCTGTAGTCCCAGCTACTTAGAAGGCTGAGGCAAGAGAATCGCTTAAGCCCAAGAGTTTGAGGTTGCTGTGAGCTGTGATGCCACTGCGCTCTACCAAGGGTGGCAAAGCGAGACTCTGTCTCAAAACAAACAAACAAAAACCTACCTTTTGACTGCATGTGTATGTTAGCAAGTGTATGTGTGTTATTTTACTGACTTTAAGCTGTGGATTGGTATGTTCTTGAAGGTATATTATAAATCTTTATGAAACTTACAGTGGAAGTTGTAACTAAGGCTCATATTTAGTGACTGGGTATTATATATTGACTATATTGTTTGTCCTTTAACTTTGAATGTATGGTACATTACTTCCTAGGGTAGTATCACAGGCAAGATTTTAGATTTTAATTGAAAAACATCAACTTTATCAGATCTGATAAATTGCTTTTTTTTTTTTTTTTTTTGGAGACAGGGTCTCACTGTTAGTTAGCCAGGTAACTAACTCCAGGGCTTAAGCAATAAGCAGTCTTCCTGCCTTAGCCTCCCTAGTAGCTAGGACTACAGGTGTATCCCATTGAACTTAGTGGATTTTAAAATTTTTTTATAAAGATTAAGGTTTCACTATTGCCTACACTGGTCTAGAATTCCTGACCTTAAGCAATCCTCCGGCCTTGGCTCTCAAAGTGCTAGGATTGCAGGCCTGAGCCACCATGCCCAACCCAGATTCTTTTTTTTTTTTTGTTGAGACATGATCTCACTTTATTGCCCTCAGTAGAGTGATGTGGCATCACAGCTCACAGCAACCTCCAACTCCTGGGCTTAGGGGAATCTCTTGCCTCAGCCTCCTGAGTAGCTGGGACTACAGGTGCCTACCACAATGCCTGGCAATTTTTTTTGTTGTTGCAGTTTGGTTGGGGTCGGGTTTGAACCCGCCACCCTCGGTATATGGGGCCAGCACTCTATCCACTGGGCCACAGTGCCACCCAACCCAGATTTTTTTTTTTTTTTTTTTTTGAGGCAGAGCCTCAAGCTGTCTCCCTGGATAGAGGGCTGTGGCATCACAGCTCACAGCAACCTCCAACTCCTGGGCTCAAGCAGGTCTCCTGCCTCTGCCTCCCAAGTAGCTGGGCCCACAGGCGTCCGCCACAACGCCTGGCCATTTTTTGGTTGCAGCCATTGTTGTTCGGTGGACCCGGGCTTGATTCGAACCCGCCACCTTAGGTGTACGTGGCTGGCGCCCTAGCCGATTAAGCCACAGGCACCAAGCCCAACCCAGATTCTTGAAGTAAATTGACAAGAGGATAATACACTACTTAAGTCAAGAAGGATTTTAAGCAGGAACTGAAGTTAGAAGCAGCCTGCTGTAGATTAATATTTTTGTTGTGTTGCTTCAGCTTTCCTAGTTTCTAAACTTCACAAACAACTAGTTGATGACCTTTGTAGCATCTTTATATGGGACTTTCTTCCCCTCCTCTCCCTTCCCTTTGCTTCTCTTCTCTTTTTTCTTTTAAGACAGAGTCTCTATTGCCCTGGGTAGAGTGCTGTGGTGTAGTCACAGCTCACAGCATCCTCTAACTCCAGGGCTCAAGTGATCGTCTTGTCTCAGCCTTGCAAGTAGCTGGGGCTATAGGCACCTACTATAACGCCTGACTAGTTTTTCTATTTTTAGTAGAGACAGAGTCTCACTTTTGCTCAGGCTGGTCTTGAACTCCTGAGCTCAAGCAGTCCCACCTGCCTCGGCCTCCCAGAGGGTTAGGATTACAGGCCTGAGCCATAGCACCCATCCTGACAATTTCTCTTTCTTGAGACAAGCTCTTGCTGTATTGCCAACGGTGATCTCAAACTCTCAGTCCCAACTGAACCTGCTGCCTTTGCCTCCCAAAGTGCTGGGATTACAGGTGTGAGCCACTGTGCCCAGCTGAGAATTTTATTTATTTACTTTTATTAAGTCATTTATATATAGATCATAAATACATTTATGTCAGCTGAGAATTTATATATGGTAAAATGGTGAGATGGTACAATTCATACAATTAATCTGACTCTAGACCAGAGTGACTAGAGCAGGCATCCTCAAACTACGGCCCGCAGGCCACATGCGGCCCACCTAGGACATTTATATGGCCCACTGGGTGTTTTTGCTGACG